CCTACCTTCAAGAAGCCCCAAGAACTCTGGCAGAAAAGAACCTGCAGCACTGAGACAGCCCGAGCTGAAGGATGGTTAGATGGACAGACAGACCATCACTAGTAAACAGAGAAGCTAGCTCTTTAGAAGGAGGGCCCACGAGAAGCCCCCACCGGCAACATTAGTACTTAGATCAGGGGCAAGCACCGAGGGTATCCCAGGAAGAAAGCTGACTAGGGACGTGTTTGCTCTGGCCCACAATCTTTTTTTTCTGAGAAGTTTTTGCTATAGGGCGTGTGTGCTCTTCAGAAAGACAGAGAGAGACAGAGAGACAGAAAGCAAGAAATCATCCCTCAGGGGGAGGGATAGCCATGCCGCAATATCCTCTCCTTCATTCTCCTCTTGGGATCTTGGACATGCACACACATGCACCCGGTGTGAGTTTAAGCCACTAGGTCCGGGACTCGAACTGCGGTTGACTACATGGGAGTCCAGCAACATAGCCATTACGCCAACTGGTGGTCCCACCCCAGCCCATAGTTTGACCCTTCTGCCTACCCAGGCTTCAGCACAAGTCACAATGGGCTCCAAATAGAGCTCCGAATGTCATGGAAAGGGCTTTGGAAACTGCAGGTGCTATAAGTGACAGCACCATTACTAGTGGTTAGGAGAGTAGACTCTGGTGCCAGACCACCACGTTGAAATTCCAGGCCCCCTATCAATAGCTCCATGGCCTTGGGCCTCAGTTCCTTATCTGTGACACAGGAAGAGCACAGTCCCTCGCTCACTCTGGTGTTGCTTAAAGCATTCACAATGAGCTCAGCAGATTCGAAACTGGAAATTCGAATTGTTTTTGCTCTTGTTAGTGTTAAGTGCTACTGAGTCGGAGCTCCATTCACCTCCTCCCCCTGGACTCCCCATTCAGAGTCTCCAGCTCCAGGCAAGTCACCCTGCAAGGGCCTATGGGAGGGAAGCAGTGTGGGGCCATTGCTCCCCAAGCCCAGGCCCCGAGTGCCAGGCCATGTGTGCAGAAAGGCCAGGCATCCGGCTGGCCTTGGTGGCCACTCCATTTGGCTATCACCCTCGGGAAATTCCTTCATCTCTTATTTTTCAGAAGCTGAGAAAAGCTGCTTCAGCACTTTCCAAGGATTGGGAATGTCTGTGGCAAACAAGCCCTCTCCCCACAGGTGGACCCCACAGGAGGGTGGTGACCTCAGGACCCTTCTACCGAAGGCCTTGGGCTATATCTGTTGAGTAAGTCAAAAACATGAGTTGAAGATTAAGCCACTTTGCCCTGGCTGGCTTGGGCACAGGCTGGAAAATGTGTTTGGCTGGCAGGGCCAGGAGTTGGGCAAAAATCCTGTGTCCAGGGATGAGAGGATCCTAGTCCCAGGTGGATAAGATTTAAGCAAGATCAATGGGAAGACCAGAGAGAGAGCTGGAACCAAACTGAGGCATGGAGAAAACACAGCAGGCAGAGAGAGAGACAGGCACACCATGTGAGGGAACAGGGAAGGGGTAGGGAGGCTGGAGACCAGCCCAACAGAGGCTGAAGGGCAGGCAGCAAATGGAAAAGGAAGGAAAAATCCAAACCCGCCCTTTCCTCCCTCTTGTGAACCTGTTCAAAGCATTTGCCTCGCCTGCCCTGCCGTGAGGAAACAGGTGCCGAGTGCTCTCAGGGAAGCCAAACTTTCTCCCAGTTTCCCTCCAGGGCACTTTCCCACTCCCCGGGGACAGCAACATAGCTTCCATCTGAAGGATGGAATGGATCCCCACCCACAGAACCCGACAGCCCACCCATCAGCCAGCCAGAGAACAGGAGCGAAGGTTACTGAGTACCTCATCTGTGCCAGATTTCGAACAGAATGCCTTTCTTCTAGGCACCCAATACACAAAGTAGTGGGTACTTTTTACCCATTACGGCAAGGCAGTGGAGACACAGCAACGAACAAAACAGATACAACTCCTTGTCCTCATGGAATTTACACGCTGACGTGGACAGAGCCCCTCCAGCAAGGTAAATAAATGAGATGCATAGCATGTCTGAGGGCAAGCCAAGGCCAGCCAACGCCAGGAAGGAAGCTAGGATTGCTGGGGCAGAGCAGGGCTGATTCTTGAATAAAGACGACTCGGGGAAGGGCAAGAGCCTTGTGGTATCCACAAGAGAGCATTCTGGGCAGAGGGAACAGCAGGTGCACAGGTCCTGAGGCAGCACCACCCCTGGTATGTTCATGGACCGGCAAGGAGCCCAGGAGGCTGGCTGAGTGGGGACGACAGCCTCTAGAAGGAGATGAGGTGAAAGAAGTCTGTCCCGTAAGGCCGTGCAGGCCAACGGAAGAATCTGGGCTTTTGCTCCAAGTGAGGCGGGCAGTACCGGAGGGTTCTGAATACAGATTAATTCAATGAACTCATTTGCTCTTTGGGGCCAGACAGTGGAGCAGTATACTGGAATCTCTGCCATGCTGGACCCACATGGAAGGTTCCAGTTCACATCCCAAGGCTTTCCTGTGCACACCAGGCATGGTCACTCATGCCCGGGATCCAGGCTGGCTGAGGCTGAAGGTCGATCATCCATCACCCTATTGGGGTGCTTATACCTCTCTCTCTCTCTCTCTTTCTCTCTCTCTCTCTCTGAAGAAATAAATAGTTGGGGTTTTTTATTTGCTCACTCTATTCTTTCCACAACCTCACAGGTAGGAACTATTGCTAATTCCCACACTGAGATCCACATTGCTTGGGCAACATCTTCAGGGCCACACAATACAGTGGGAAGCCAGGAGCCAGGAGCCAGAGGGTGGTGGCCTAGGTCCCTCACCCTTAACCATTACTGAGGGAATTGGTTCTGACTCAGGTGGGTTGAACTGGAGGCACAATCCAGTGTCACAGCCGCCATGTGGCGGAGCCAGCTTCAAGGTCAGCACCTCCCACCCCAGGGCCCATAGCACAGAGACACGGAAATTCCACAGCCTTGCTCAAGCAGGCGGTTCCATCCAGGCCTTCTGGACTCTGAGGGCAACTCTCAGCTGGAATGCCAACCTATTCCCTTTTCTCCCAATCCCCCAACCCCTGACCCCTCCTCATATAAACAAGGCTCACAAGACTCCCGGTGGCCACACAGCTGGTTTCTGCTTGGTGGTCCTGAAACTCTGGACCTCCACCTCCCAGACAAGCCAAGGACATTCTGTTCTCAGCCACAGGTGGTAGTTCAGCTGGACTGACGAGGGACGTATGCTCACTCCCCCACACCACCCTCCTCGAGCTCCCAGGACGTTCCTCTGCGATCCCAGAGCAATCTCTCACTGCAGTTCCAAGGCAGGCCGCACTCTGCACCACCCCTCGACCCCACACCTCCGCTGCTGTCCCATGACCCTCGACTGGGCTCTGTGAGAAGGACATTCCACATCTGGAGCAGCACAGCTGGGCACTGCTGAAGCCCAGAAGGGTCTGACTCTAATCGATCAGGGAAGAGGGCCCACTGCAAAGAAGGTAAACAACCCGGCAGGGCTTGGGCCTCTGTAGAGGACTGTGGCCTCCTCTGGGCTATAAGGAATCTAAGAGCCCCAAGCATTTCTGTCTAGTTAATTTACTGAATATTTCACTCCATCACCACCTAAAAGGGCAAGAATCCGTATCAGCACTAAGAAGGCATTTAGAGACTCTAATCTAACCTCTCAATTTGGCAGAAAAGAAAACAGGAAAGAAGGTGAGACCACCCTGACATTTCAATGCAAGTGGCTGTTGGAGTAAAAGGAAGGGTACTAGGGGGCTTGACTGGACATCCAGCGAGCAAGTCACCAGACACATGTGCAGGACACATACAGGTGCCTGGGCCCCCAGCCCACTAACATCAGTGCCACACAGACACCTCCACACCAACCAGTCAGCTGTGCCCACATGGCCCCCCTTCCATCACACACACATACACACACACACACACACACACACACACACACAGGTGCACACCTGCAGATCCCTTCCCATGCAGCCCTCGAATCCCTGACTGCCTCCAGTGGCACTCGGAGAGCAGGTGGCCCTCTGAAGGGTAAGAAAGAGGCAAGAGGGAAGGGAAGAAAATCTCCCAGCATTCCACACCATCCCAGCTGGAATCAGTCTGGAGCAGGCCCTCTCCACAGTCCCAATTTACAGGGATCCCCTCCTTTGGCTCCATCCTAGTTATTCTGGAAGACTGACTGGGGTAGCCATGGAGGGTGGGAAATGGAGAAAGCAGAAAAGCAGAGCGGGGCTAGCTGGTGGCATGGTGGTTACACTACTGGATCCCACATGCTTGAATGTGCAGTTCAAGTCCCAGACTGGATGGCCTGAAAAGCACGCCAGGGGCATGTACCTGTGAGCCCGAAATTCCAAAAGAAGAAATGGAGAAGGGATTACAACATGACCATCCCCTTGGGGGGTGTATGGGGGTCTCTCTCTCTCTCTCTCTCTCTCTCTCTCTCTCGCAAGCACATATGCACTTTGGCTTTTTTTTTTTTTTTTTTTATG